AAGTATTTTTATGATAAGATACTTGTACTTTTACTGAAGTATCACTTTGAGGTACTTTATACAACACTATTAAAGTATTAAATAACTATTTAACAAAATATAAAAGTATTAATTATTGATAAAATAAAGAAGTTTGTTTCTAACTGTATAAAAGTTGTTTTCTAATAAATAAAACCTTTTATTAGTTTTCCTCAGAGCATTAATCAGTAAAATATCACTTCCTGTTTTATTTTGAAAAGACCTGCCGTGAGCCTTCAGCATCAGGTCTACCTGAACCGGACCGGTTCTGGTCTTACCGTGTCCGGTGGCAGCAGCGAGCACCAGCGGGCGGCTGGGGGACCACTGCACCTGGAACAGGTAAGAGTCCGACGCCCTGATGGACAGAACCGGGTCGGTCTGCAGCAGAGAGTGGACCTGGACCAGACCCTCGGTCCCAGCACTCGCAAACAGGTTCCTGAAACGGGTCAGAGTGGGTCAGAGTCTGGGACAGGTCTGAGTCTGACCCAGGTCTGAGGGTGCGGTTCTGACCTGTGGAAAGGTGAGCAGTGGATGGAGTGGACCGGACCGCTGCTGGGTCTGAAGGAGAAGACCGCGGGGGCTCTCAGAACCACGGTCCGGTCCTCAGGTGGGACCGCAGCCGGAGTCTGGGAGGAGAAGGAGCAGCGGAGCAGCAGACCCCCCTCAGAACCCACCAGGAAGGTGTCCGGGTCCCACGGAGACAGAGCCAGGGCCGTGACCCCCACAGTGCTGCTGCCCCGGACCTGCAGACCCAACAGAACCATCAGAACCGGTGGAGCCGCCTTGACTTAGACCACTTCAGAAGCGGTCTGGTTCTGAGACTCACCCTGGTGCTGGTTCTGCTGCTGTGAGGAACCTGCTGTGGTACGAAGGCGTAGGCAGAGTCCAGAACCAGCCTGGTCTGGTCCAGGTCCAGGGTCCACAGCAGAACTCTGCCTCCAGAACTGGAACTCAGAACCCCAAAGTCTCCCTTCCTCTGCAGGGGGACCCAGGAGACCTGGAACAGGAGCAGACCCACCTCAGAACCTCTGGTCCACATACAAGACCACATCTGGTCCAAACCAGAACCCTTAACCCTCCAGACCTGATAGACCGGCTCTCTGTGACCCTCTGCAGACATCCCAGTCTGGCCCAGAACCAGATCCTGAGTCCGGCTGGTGTCCCAGACCAGAACCTCTCCGCTGTACAGTCCCCCTACAGGACCAGAGACAGGACCAGAGACAGGACCAGAGACAGAACCCAGTTTGACCAGTTTTATCACTTACACTGTCCAACAGCTTGGACAGGAGACAGATGGAGGACATGTTGGACAGGACAGTTTGGACATGAGTGAAAGATGGGGGACATGTAAAACAGGAGACATGTTGGACAGGAGACATGTTGGACAGGGGACATGTTGGACAGGAGACATGTTGGACAGGAGACATGTTAAACGGGAGACATGTTGGACAGGGGACATGTTGGACAGGAGACATGTTGGACATGAGACATTTAGGGGACATGTTAAACAGGAGACATGTTGGACAGGAAACATGTTAAAAACAGGAGACATGTTGGACAGGAGACATGTTGGACAGGGGACATGTTAAACAGGAGACATGTTGGACACGAGACATTTAGGGGACATGTTGGACAGGAGACATGTTGGACAGGAAACATGTTAAAAACAGGAGACATGTTGGACAGGAGACATGTTGGACAGGGGACATGTTAAACAGGAGACATGTTGGACAGGAGACATGTTAAAAACAGGAGACATGTTGGACAGGGGACATGTTGGACAGGAGACATGTTGGACAGGAGACATGTAGGGGACATGTTAAACAGGAGACATGTTGGACAGGAGACATGTTGGACAGGAGACATGTTAAACAGGAGACATGTTGGACAGGAGACATGTTAAACGGGAGACATGTTAAACGGGAGACATGTTGGACAGGGGACATGTTGGACAGGGGACATTTTGGACAGGAGACATGTTGGACAGGAGACATGTAGGGGACATGTTGAACAGGGGACATGTTGGACAGGAGACATGTTGGACAGGAGACATGTTGGACAGGAGACATGTTGAACAGGAGACATGTTCAACGGGAGACATTTTGGACAGGAGACATGTTGGACAGGAGACATGTAGGGGACATGTTGAACAGGGGACATGTTGGACAGGAGACATGTTGGACAGGAGACATGTTAAACAGGAGACATGTTGGACAGGAGACATGTTAAACGGGAGACATGTTGGACAGGGGACATGTTGGACAGGGGACATGTTGGACAGGAGACATGTAGGGGACATGTTGAACAGGGGACATGTTGGACAGGAGACATGTTGGACAGGAGACATGTTAAACGGGAGACATGTTGGACAGGGGACATGTAGGACAGGATACATGTAGGGGACATGTTGGACAGGGGACATGTTGGACAGGGGACATGTAGGACAGGATACATGTAGGGGACATGTTGGACAGGGGACATGTTGGACAGGGGACATGTAGGACAGGATACATGTAGGGGACATGTTGGACAGGGGGCATGTTGGACAGGAGACATGTTGGACAGGGGACATGTAGGACAGGATACATGTAGGGGACATGGACAGGGGACATGTTGGACAGGATACATGTAGGGGACATGGACAGGGGACATGTTGGACAGGGGACATGTTGGACAGGGGACATGTTGGACAGGGGACATGTTGGACCGGGGACAGGTGTACCTGCGATGAGGGCGGGGCTCTTGGGGTGACAGCACACAGATGTGACGGCTGTGGGGACATCCAGAACCAGGTCCGGTTGTTTGGGGTTCAGGTTCCGACGGTCCAGGTTCCACAGACAGACACAGGACTTGTGGTTGGTCCAGTCTCCATCGTCGGTTCTGCTCGGGACAGACCCAAAGACAAACAGGAGACATGTCCAACAGGTAGGTGAAGGTTCTGAGGTCAACATGAGGACCTGGACCTCAGCTCAGAACCTTTTAGACTTGAATGCATCGTTTTGGTTCTGGTTGTGGGTCCACCTGGTTGGACCTAAAGTCCTCCACCTAAAGACGGTTCGGGTCGTGGTACCGTACCGGCCGTAGGCACAGACGAGGACAGAACCGGTGCAGGTCCAGGACACGCTGCTGACATGAAGGACCTGGTCCTGAGCTGCGGGACGCTGCAGACGATGGACACATAAAACCTGGAGACACATGGAAGCGGGTCAGACTCAGGTCCTGCCTGGTCCACATATAAAGTTCTGGTTCCACTGACCCGCTGGCGGTGCTGGTCCCAGTCTGCCTGGAACCCATGGAAGGCGTGGCTCCGGCTGGTCTTCTGCAGCTCTCTGAGGACCAGGTCCTCKGTCCTCTGCAGGAAGTCCAGCAGGCCCGGAGGATCCGGCTCAGCGGGGTTCTGATGGAGCAGGTCTGGGCTTGGTTCCTGTGGTTCTGTCTGAGTCCAGCTGGAGGTGGTGGACCGGGTCTGGACTCCTGCGTGTCCTCGGTGCACAGCTTCAGTCTGACTGCTCCTCTGCAGGAAATAAAACCAGGAAGTTCAACCTGCTCTGAACCGAGCCGAACAGAACCGAGCCGACCAGAACCGAACAGAACCGAGCCGACCAGAACCGAACAGAACCGAGCCGAACAGAACCGAGCCGTACCGTCTGCAGAGGCTCCTGCTGGCTGCGCCTCCACCTGGTTCTGACCGTCACAGGGTCCAGAGTTTCATCTGAGAACATGTCCAACAACCTGGGTTTAAAGGAGATGTTAGAGACGTTTTAATCTGTGGTCAGATTAACAATCTGTCCAGATTTAACCACCAGCTGGACTATAATTATTTTATTATTCCACAGTTCATCCGTGACGTCATCATGTTGAACCATCACCTGTGTGACTCACCTCGAAGTCACACTTCACACATATCTCTGTTAAAAACATCCATCATCAAACACGAGACGCCGCAGCCGCCATCTTGCCTCCGAGGCAGCGTCGCCATGGTTACCGGGTTGCCAGGTGCTGTCAGAAACCGAAGACTGTCGCAAAAAACGAGTTTAAAAATGTTTTTAACGGAACACGTAGAGCTGCGGTGTGAAACTACTCTGCTGTAAAGTCAGTAAAACTCAGTGATTTAGGTAAAGTAAAGTAAAATAAAGTCTGTTTGCTTTAAGAAGCTGTTAGCATGCTAGCTGCGTTAGCTCAGTTAACGAKCAGCGTTGTGTTACTAATAACACACGAATAAACAAATGTTTGTAAATAAACAACACAAACTACCATCAAGCGGAGGAAAACACTTACAGCAAATTGTTTACATCAAACTGAAAAGAAGCAGCTGGTAACTCCGCTAAYGGAAGCGGTGAAACGTCACTTCCGCTTTAAAAAAACAGAAAATCCGCTGAGTTGTATTTATTACTTAAATGTAAAGCAGTTTAAATCACTTTGAGATAAAAACGAACRGCTGTGTCATAAAAACACATTAAAGTTCTAATTATTTAAAAATAGGTATTTTTACGATACGAGCAATTATAAACACTTCCGCCCTGACTGCAGCTTCCGGCCGCCATGTTGGTCAGGGCAAATCACTTCCCCGAAATGTGATGAGAAACTAATAAACTGGGTTATTTTTCAAAGAGAAGATTAAAATAAAAACACACAAATCCTCATATTTCATTTTTTATTTGAAACACCAAACATCTTTCAAACAAATAAAATGAGCTCCAATAAAAATAGTTTTTATTCAGAGAAGACTTTTTTTAATGTTTGATTTTTTTATGTTTTAAAAATAATGTCTGACTCAAGAACTGAACACGTCTTTGGTTTAATTAAGAGGAATTAAGTATTAAAAGTAAAAGTATTGAGTAAAAATGAGAGGTTAGATTTTCCAAAATGAAAGATTTTTAGTTGACCTGTTCAAAAATTTCTTTTCTCTTAAAGTGTGTTGAAGTGACAGATTGTGTACAAAGTGTTAGAGTGGTATTTATTTATACTTCTCATCCAACCACAGCTGAGTTCACTCCATCCAGGAGGAACAGTTGATCAGGATTTAATAACAAGCTGGAATAGGAGTATCGACTTTCTACTTCTTATCTTTTTAAATAACTGTAAGG